TGGATAAGGGCCCAGTGACCTTCAGTGCCTTTGATTCATACCATTTCACCCTTGCTTGAAAGGGCGACCGCTTGGTCCTAGTGGCTTACACCGCCGATCGATTGACCTCCCTACCAGCCACCTGCGTGCGTTACGATGGGAGCGAAACCTCTGAAGCGATTGAGGCACAAGGCGGGACCAAGCAACCCGTGCAACCCTTTAGGCCCGAGGTTTGCGGGAATAGGAACCTGCCGCTGGAGGTGGAGTGGGTCTGCCATGCAGAACCCATAACCGACAGGTTCGGACTGAGCGCTTCACCAGCTCGGTCTTGACTTCCGACAAGAGCATGTTCCAGATCCGTTTGCGTTTTGTCAGAAACTTGAGAGGGGCGAGCTAGAGAAATCCCCTTTTGATGAGGATGCCATGCATCGGTTGCGTCAGCGATGGTGCCTGCTTGTGGGGGGTTCGGATTGGAAGCACCCCTCGGCCGTTCCACCTGGTGTTGAGAACCTTGGCCAAGACAGCAGAGTTGATGGGGGGCCCTGATTGGGAAATCCTCACCGAACTACTGTAGCGGAGTGCCACTACTTGGCTTCCGCGAGGAGGTTCCACACCTACCGCAGGTCTATGACCACAAGACCAAGTGGCGGAAGCTCGATGGAAGATCTCCCGGAGTGGGATCGGCCGAACTGTAGCAGTGCCACTCTCGATGCCCAGCAACTCCTGGAGAAGTTTCGGGAGGAGGAGAAGCTCGGAAGGATGTCATCCACAACCTTAGGTGCTCTCACACAGGACTATCCCGAGGATCGCGTACGGATTGCGTCGATGGGGGCGATCCGCAAGCCGGCTGGGACAGTGAGGCCGGTTCATGACGGGACACACGGGGTCCATGTGAACCAGGAAATCCGGCAGCTTAATCTTTTGGCAGTTCCAGGCCCGGCTGAGGTGGCCTGGCTTGTCCACAGTCTTCGTGAATTGGGTCGGTACGTTCGGAATATCGTCGGCGTCGCTGTGGTGGAGCCGCTTGTTTGGGATCATAGGCAGAGTTGTGGGCAGAGCTATGCTCAACCACTTTCTTTATCAGCTGGTCTTCGTGGATGACCTTCATGCTGATTTCTTCGGGCCAAGGAAGCACATTAATGCCCTCCTATGGTTAATTTTGTACCTTATGATTGAGACCCCTTTCGCTTGGAAGAATTTTAGGGGGGCTTAAGGGCTGCCTTCATAGGTTATGAGTTAAACTATGGGACCTACCTGGTGGGAATGTCAGATGCGCGGGGAGCATGGCTTGTGGCTTGGATCAGGGAAGCACGCAGATCCCGCTTCATTGTGGCCACACGCAAGTTTGCTGAGCTCCTGGGACGCTTGGGTTTTGTGTCAAGGCTCCTCTACTGGCTGAAGCCGCAGCTGGCCTCTTTGTATGCGTGGGCAGCAGCAACGCACCGTTGTTCAGTGGGACGTCTCCCGGACACTGTCATCCTCACTCTTGTTTACTTGGAAGAAACCTTTGCCGAGACTTAAGAAGGCAAGGTCTGAGCAGCCAGCATTCTTCACGGATGCCAAGTGTGAGGATGGTAGGGTGGTTTTAAAGGGTTGGGAATCTTTAGGGCCAGTAGGTAGTGCCCGATGGTTTTCCATTTCCCTTAAGCCTGAGGATGCCCCCTACCTTTTCGATGCAGAGGGCCGCTCACAGTGGGCGTCAGCATCAGCCGAGCTGTTGGCAACGTTAGCAGCCCTTCACTTGTTTGGCCATCTGAAGCCGGTCCAGAGGCTGAGGCAGTTTCCTGTTGTGATCCCAGCGGTCACGGACAATGGGGGCAATGAGGCACTTTCCCGGAAGCAGAGCACGACTAAATGGCCGCTTATGTTAGTCAATAGTCAACTTTCCCATCACTTGATGAAGGCTATGCTTAAGTTGGACTTTAGATGACGCCTGCGAGGGGAAAATCAGGACGCAGATGACTTGACAAACCAGAGGTGTGACGACTTCGACTCAGGAAAGAGGGTTTGGTGCAGACCCAGTGACCTCCCACTTAGCTTGTTAAACAAAACTTTGGGAGACGAAATCTCAGTTTGATGCGATGCGTCGTCAGTTGACGTCCTCAGATCAGGCAGAGTGCGCAGGGCGCAAAAGGCCTCATGAGAAATCAGTGTGGTAGCGTTCACGCAAAGTGAGAGGGTGTGGAATGCGCGACCACACGGGTTCGCGTTCGGCATCCCGAGGCATCTACCACCATCCAGAGAAAATGAAGGCTCCGTCTTGTGCGTGTCCTTGCATGTTACCTGCTTGTTTGCACTTTTTGAGTTGAGTGATGCAACTTTGGGATACTACTTGAACTGAGTGATGAATAATCTGATTGATTGAGATCCTGTTTGAGAAGAGTGATTGAAATTACTTTTGATTGAGAATATATATCAACTAAGTTTTGGATTGATCCCAAAACCCATTGAACCATAACCCTGAAAACAGGTGTTCGCGTGTGCCCTGCGAACTTTCTTCTTTCCTGGGAAAGTTCCAGTGCGCAGATGTTCAAGTATTGGGGAGGGCAGAAAGAATGGCCCTGCGAGATTGAGGGCGTGTTGACACTTCCCGCGCGTCCCAGTGAGTCTTGATCCATCAGAAGTGGAGGCTTTCAGACTTCTGAGAGATAGATTATTCAATGGCAAGCCAGAACTATTCATGCAAGCTGGAAGGAGAAACCAATGATGGTTGCCTTGGATGGCGCTCTCTGGGATGTCTGGCCACCGTGGGAGGCGTGTTGTTTGATCCCAAGCTTGTTGGTTGTGCCACAGTGTTGGGCAGCCGGTGCCAGCTGAGCTGTGCAGTGTTGGCAGTCTGATGGCAAGAAACATGTGATACCTTGGTCGACTTGTACGCCGCCATTTTTTCTTGAGGTTTTGAAAAAATCGGGGGCTGTAGTGCAATTCTGTTCATAAATTCTTGGCTAGCTTTGGATTCATTGGTGAAGGGCGAGTGGAGCATCCGTCACTGGAGGGAACTTTTGCTGGTGCTTGAAAATCCTTCCAAGAACCTCCGTGGGCTGCTCTGGCTGGCCAGAGGTCCACCTGCGTCCAACGTGGTGTTCTGCCTTTCCCAACCACCCTCTCTGGCTGTGGCATCTTCGCCCCATTGTGCGCTGTGGTGGTCTAGCGCATGCGCCTCCAGAGTTTGTGATCCCGTGATGTGCAAATGGTTGTTGGTTTGATCTTTCAAAGTAAGTAGGTGTGCTCCGCGCTACCCAGGTTGTGTACGGGTCACATAGTTTGCGGTTTGAGCTACAGCTACAGCTGCTCTGCTAGGAATTGTTGTCGCTGTTGGGTTGCCAGCATTGAGTGGCCGTTGGAAAATACCATGTATGCAATTGTTCGCGAGCAGGTCTGACAGGACCGCTGTGGCTGAAAGGCAAAAAGGATTGGCGGATCGATGTAGGCCCTCCTGCACGCTTTGCAAGCACTCCCCTGTCAGCGTTACCTAGATGCTGATGCGGACTGGGGAAGGAAGCACGTCCATGGTGAGAGCAAGGGTGGTAGCGGGTGGTGAGGCCGAGATTCGAAAACGTTAGTGCGCTGAGGATGACAAGAGTTTGAGTGCAGGTGTGCTCACAGCTTTTGATTGATTCGAAGAGGTACTTATGAACTACATTGATTGTGCATTGATGTTCAATATACATTTCAACCCGTGCAAATAATTGGAACATGATTGTATATAGGAGTTCTTGGAATTCCAACGTTGATTGCTTTCGCATATGCCGAATGTTTGATGGATGTGATTTCGAAATTTTGGCAACTTTATGAAATTTTTGGAATTGATACGGAGGCGTTTGGACGGCATGTTGATACTTTGAAAGTTTTGTCCGGGAAACATAAAATGATTGATGCATGATGCGTCTTGCCCAGGTTCCATCGTGCATTGGTATGAGACAAGACAACTATAGCGATATTTCTTATGTTATGACATGAGTTGGCGTGCAGCAATCCAATTTAAGCAGCATGCACGCGACATTTGCAACAAACGGCCTCCCCACAAGGCAAGTTATAGAAAGGCTCGCAACACCAGTACAAGAATCATCACACGGCAGGTGTGTAATTGGCAATTCGCGGCCATGGCACCAACCGTCGAGCGCTTGCCTTCCTTAAAGTATGCACTTTGACGGAAGCTTTTTGGTGTCTGAATGATAGCTTTTTGCTTCGGGTGGCTGAAGTAATTCCAGGTAGATGCATCAATGTCAGCTTGCCAATGGGCCGCGTATTTTTGTATCTCGTGCATTACCCGCTCAAGGACGACTGTTTGGTTTAGTTTGCCTACAAAAGTCGAATGCTCCAACAATGTGTGGTTTGACGGGTTCAGTGAGCTTTTACTGCGACCGGCATGCTCAGCGCCCAAGCACGATTGCCAACAATGGTCCCAACCCGAACGCAACCCTCAAGCCTGAACTTGCAAAGCCAATTAGGCAAATTCGTTTGCTGAGTGATGTTTGCCCCATGCTGAGGCGAAGTTTGGGAATACTGCATCTTGGATGGCAAGTTTGCGCATTCCCAGCGTTCAGCAGTCTGGTATTCATGGGTAGGTGTTCTTAGTAGGACTACCCAAACACATAAAAAAGGGAAAGCTTCAACTTTCTGGGGACGCTTGGCCCTTCTTTTTGTTTTCTGAGCATCTGATAAGTGTGTGCTGGCCAGCAGACATCGCCACTGAAGTTAAAGTCGGTTAAACGTTCGGGGTCAGAAGCTTAGCGTCAAAGATGGTGCAACCTGAAACGGTCAGGAGATCATACCCATCAGCCCCAATCAGCTTTGGGGATGGCACAAAGCAACATCGTATTTAGTGTTGCTCCCTTTTTGAGCATTACTTCCAACAAGACACATTTCCTTGGTGTCTAACTTGATATCAAACAGTGTTGTTCCGTTGCGGCAAAAAACCGTGCATTGCTGTTTCAATGGCGGTCAAAGATATTATTCATTGTACTGTTTGGTGACAATGTTCACCAGACATGCCAGAACCGGAAACATGTGCAACCTGAATGGAGGACACTGACTACACAGCCGAGGTTCAACCCCAAAGCCTGACGTCTCTGGCTATCGAACCCTTACGATGGACACGTATCATTTCCCTACAATCCCCACTTAGTCCTGAAGATCATTAAGGGACTCCTATTATCAGAAATTGCCATTTGAGGACATGGTGGTGTCGGAAGTCTGTGGGGGCACGATGATGTGGGGAACATTTAACACCGAGGCAGGTGCTGGCCGGGCGTTTTACATTGGGTTCTGTAGGGTTGTATGGGGTAGTGAGGGAAATACAGGGTTTCCTTAGGCCCATATAGGGTTTCGCGGAGATATGGGGTGATAGCGGGGGATCTATAGGGTTTGAAGAGATTCTTGCGGGACCTGAAGGAGCATTAAGCATTGATGATTTTGTGAGAAGCTGTCCGGTGAGTGATTGGCCCCAACTTGGACTGCCGGTACTAGCCAACGTACCAAAAAAAGGTTTTTGCCATTGCCATCAGAGTTCACCACACTTGTTTGGCAGTGAGATTTACAGGAGAAAGTGGCGCACGACCAGCTGGATGCTCTGGTGCCTCAGTTGCCCTTGGTCCCATGATTCTTGAACGGTTTGGATATCGGGAGTGTGCGCGGGGTTCCATGACACCCAACCTTTTACTCTTTGATTTTATGGGTTAAACACTTTTTGAATGGTTCATATTGCTTGTCTTTGGGAAGGTTCAGTAAATTAACTTGACACGAAGAAATTGGGCTCGGAAGAGGTTCCAGTCGTGGAATAGGTTGTGGTAGGAAGGGCCGCGAAACCCTGCTCTCATACGACAAGCCTCTACACGAGCTACAGTCTAAACATATCTAAACTCTAAAGAGCGGTTATATAGGGGATTATATAGGGTTCCTATTATAGGGCTCATTAAGGGGGATACTAGGAGTTTGGACTATAATCCCCTATAATCCCCTATATAATCCCAGTTTCCATTTCATTTTCCATTTTCTTTTCCATTTGATTCAGCCACTACGGCTCAATGCAGCTTGTTGAGGTTAGGTAGAGAATCGTCC